AAAGAGTGCCCACGGGGAAGTCAAAACCCATATCCTGTCCTCTTTGCCCCAGACCCTTTCCACCTGTGGAGCAACCCCTGCCTGATGAAAGCAATGGGTCTTGGTTGCATCATCTGCAACGCGAGTGACCGGAAGGGCTCAGCTCTCGGGTCCACGCAGGGAACCCTGCTCATTTATCAGCACAAGGTCCGCGGGATAGCACTGCCACGTGAAATGGGGGGGGGGGGTGTCAGAGGCCCTGGGGCATCTGATCACCAGAATGAGGAGGGATCCCAGTTCACCTCACATGCGCCCAGGGGATCTCGGGGATCCCCTAGTTACGCGTCAACGGCTACCTGAGGCCCCAGACCACGTGCGCGGAAAAGCCAAGAGAACCCCCGAGTTTGTGAATGGGATGTAAGGTAGTAGCGGGGGGGCGCAGGGAGGGGGCTTCCTTAACACGGGTCACCCAGTCTCCGGAGTCTCATTCTTACCTGAGCCGCCCAGAGCAAAGAGAACGGCAGCATCGTAACCCAAAGTCGTAAGAGGTCCAGCCACCAACTCCAGCTCAAGCTAGCAAGGTGTCGGAAGACGACTGACCCAACAGCGCATGCGCGAGACGAACGCCCAGAGAATCCAGCTAAGGGGCGGGGCCTACGCATGCGTAATGGTGGCTCTTAGGGGCCTTTTGGAAATTGTAGTTTTTTCACCTTCTTCCGCCTCATATTTTTCCCACCACTAGCCCCGGAGTAGACGCCCTCGCACGGAAGAAGGGTTCGGTGCTGGCCCATCTCCTTACTGTCCTGAAGCATTTCAAGTTTTTTTTTTTTTTTTTTTTTTTCCCCTGCCAGGAGAGTAACTACTTAGTGGGTGCCTACTGAATATCTAACATTGTAAGTCTCTGGTAGATCTAGATTCCCATGCAAAATAGAGGGCTATGGCATACTGGAAGCCATCCTGATTTGGAAGGGTAAGTGGAGACCTGAGTTCATGTTTCAGTCCTGAGACTGTCTGGGCCTCCGTTTCCTCACTAGTAAAGCGGCATGGTGGGGCTTAAACAAGACTTTGCATGTGACCTTGGTCTGCAATGCATTGTCCTCTCACTCTTCCAGAGACCCATAAACCTGCCTTCGCCTCAGACACCTGGGAGCGGGGAGGTGCCCCTCCTGTTGGTGCACTGGTCTTACTTACCTGTTTGCCTCTGGCTGTCCAGCAGTCAGTGAGTGCTCAGTCTCCCCAGGGCTACAGATCCTTGGAAATGGATGAGATGTTTCTTTTAGCCTGACTTCATCTGGATAAGCTCCTATCTCCTCAGTTGCTGGTTCCCACGCCTGGACATTGGAATTGGTGGGAAACATGATATAAATATGAGCGTGGGGCCTTTCCTCAGAGGTTCTGATTCCATGGATTTCAAAAAATGGGCATTTGTCCACTCAGGTTGACATACAGCCAGACCTGATTCTGATAGGCAGTGGCTTTGAGAGCTATTACCTTCATAGCAATACTACACATTCATTAACTCAACAGCTCAATACTGAGCTCCTGCTCCATGCCAGACATTCCATAGCCCTGGAGATATAAGAACTCACTGACTGTTGGGACATCAAGAGGTGAGCACATAGGACCAGCAGTTGGCTGGCACAATGCCTATGTCGCTGGACTCCCATGTAGTCAACCACGGTTCGAGTCCTGGACCCAGTGGCTTAAACTCATTACAGGTGCGTGTGTGTGCATGCCAAGAGTCCTCCGAGGGGAAAATGGAGGAGAAGGGATTGGTGTGGCCATCCCCCCCTGGGGGTGATTTCTCGCTTTCTGGGTCTCTGTCTTTCTGGTGAGCGCACACACCCTATAGCAAAAACCTCTCCAAAAATAAATAAATAAATAAAAAGAGGTGAGCACGTAATACAATTCAACAAGTGCAGTAACACTTCACTCTACTTTCAGATGTCTAGATGTACAAGGATGAGGGAATGGGAGGAGGGGGAGGAGTGGTGGCCACTGGCAAGTTTGCTAGTCACAGGAAGAGAGGGAGGACAATTCATGGCAGAAACTGGTCACATGCAAAATCTTGGTCAGTGTCCATTACATGCTATTTTATTATGGCTTGCAAGGTAAGCAAACCTAAGCCCAGATAGGCAAACGTGCTAATTCCATTATTCCCACCTAGCTCTTCTATGATGCCTTAGAACTGCCCCAGCTCTAATCTTCCCTCCCATGCTAACCTGGGTTTTTCACAGGTGTTTTGGGAACAGGTCCAGTGATAGCAGACCTCTGGGTTTTCCCTCCAATCTCCGACCTAGAACCACTCTCCATCTTCCTCTTCCTTCCAGTTGACCCTGCCATCACGTCCATCTATTTATCTATCCATCCAATGGATGGATATTTGTTTTCTGCTTACCGATCTTTCACTCCCAGGCGTCTGGGTCAGAACCGTCTCTGACTCAGTTTCCAGCTGGAACCAGTGGCTGATCCCCTGGAGAACACTGCCCTCTCCCAGTGGGCACCTTGACCCGCCACTCAAGGCAAAGACAGGCTGGAGACGAGTACTTTCTCGGTGCCTCAGCTTGTCCGCACCCCCTCCCTCGCCCCCGTCAGGGGTCCCGAGGGGAGGGGGGCGGTTGAGCTTAGAACTGCTAGTGAAGCAGCAGCCAATTAACGCCCGGGCCAGGGCTGGGGGCGGATAAAATTAGCAGCCTCTGCTGCTGGAGGGAGCCGGAGCGAAAAAAACAGCTGGCTGAAGGGGGCTGTGTTTGCAGGCTGCAAGCAGCCGCGACGCGGCCCCGCCCTCCAAACCCGCGCTCCTCCCTTCCCCCATCCCCTCATCCCAATACTCCCTCCCTCATCCGTCTGCAAACTCAGCGCCCACGAAATTAGGAAGGAAAAGGAAGATCGATGACTCCAGATGCCGCAAACACCGTTCCCCCTCCCTTCCAACCTGCCGACTCCCGCCCGCCCCGCGGAGCTTAGCAGGTTGTCAGCGCTCTGCCTACGCTGTCCCTGCATCGCCACCCCAATCAAGGTCTTATACCTCCTTCCCCAAATGGTCCCAGATAGGCCCCTGGTAGTCTCCACTCAGATCGGAGCCCCATCCTGTCGGCGGCAGCTTTCCTTCACCCACCTTACGGAGGAGAATCCCTCCTGGGGTGGGCTCTTACCCCAAGGGTCACCCTCATCTCTCTGTGATCCGGTCTTGGATGACCTCCAAGGTGCCAGCTCTGTCAGTCTTTGCCTCAGTTTCCCCAGGAGCCGCCGAGGGAGGAGGTCCTGGCCAGGTCTTTACCAGACAGAAGCCCACACCTCCCCCCTCCTGCTTACAAAGGTCTCACACAGGCGCGTATTGGATTTCGCTTTATTTTGTTCCCTTTCCCGTCTGTTTGGGCGTAGAAAAAATATCACCAAGAAGAAGCAGCCGGAGGGGCAGGTGGAGCTAAACTGCGGGGACGGAGCAAGGAGGGCAGAGGGCAGGGCTGGTGGAGCGCCTCTGCCCAGGAGCTCTGCTGGGCTACCCTAAGGGGCTTGCAAAAAAAGGGGGGACAGACATACCGCAGGCAGAAAGGGTCGGAGATAGGCTGGGGTTTCTAGGCCTTTACAGTCTTTACGCGAGGACTGGGTGGAGAGGACAGGCCCTTCCGGGTAATAAGGTCAGGGTGGGATGAGGGTGCCAGGCCAGGCCTTATTAAAGCTGTGGGCAAAGGGAGTGCCGGGCCCAGTGTGGAAACAGGGGGACGCTGAGACCGGGCCCAGTGTGGAAACAGGGGGACGCTGAGACCGCATCCAGGCTCCGCCTATTCTGGGAGCTGCACTTTAAGCTCTCCACTTTGGGGTGTGTGAGGACTACCTCAGCCTCCACATGCGCACTCCCCATAAGGAAAGGGGGACCTAAACTGGCTGATGGTTTCTGGGAGGGCTGTTCCCCTCCCTCCGCCCCCAGAGTGGAAGAGGTGGGCGCGGTCACAGCAACAGCAGAGGGGTACACCAAGGGAGGCGGGATTTGGCAGGAAGCTCAGGCGGGGCTGGGGCTGGGCGCGCTATCCAAAGTAGGGGTGCTCACTCTGGAAGTTATAGTCTGGGCACACCTTCTGCACCAGTTTGTAGTCAAAGCTAAGGAAGGAGACGAAGATGCAGATGACTTTGAAGGGCTTGGCGCAGAGCCAGGCGGCCTGGCTCTGCGTGTGCTCAGTGAAGCACACCTGCGATGGGTCGTACAGGCACGGGCGGTGCTTGCGCGCGCGGTTCGTCTTCTCATACTCCACGTGGCAATTAAAAGCGCGCGACTCTTTGGCCCCAGGCACTCCCAGCACGCCCCCGAGTGGGCCGGCCAGTGCGCCTCCGAGGGGGCTTCCGAGCCCTGCCCCAGCTGCAGCTGCCGCCATCCCCAGCGGGGGCCCTAGGCCAGGTAGCACCCCCTCCAGGGCCAGCGTAGATTGCAGAGAGTGGGGGGCGGGCCCTGGCAGCCAGACTCCCCCGAACTCCACACGCTTGGAGGGCGGCACGATACTGACACTGAGGTTACCCAGACTGGACGAATTGTGGCGGAAATACACGCTGAAGGTACCATTGACATGGTCCACGATCTTGCCGGTCACCAGCAGCGAGAACTTGAGGGTATGCACCCGGAAGTAGAAGTCCCCCCAGCCGAAGATCTTTTTGGCGCGGGCAGCTTTGATGGACGGCTTCCTCTTAGTGCGCTGCTGTGCCGGCAGCGCCCCGGCCACCCCTGCCCGGGCTAGCGCCCCGGTGTGGTTAGCCGGCCAGGCCCAGCTCCAGGCTCGCGCGGTGCCCAGACCTTCGGAAGACTTGGGCGCTGGGAGCTGTTGGCTAGGGACGCCTCCTCCGGCTGTGGCGGGGCGCAGCTCCAGGTACTGCGGCCTCCCGGACTCCGGTATCTGGGCACTGACGATCTGTGCGGAAGGAAGAGGAGGAGAGAGAGAGACGCTGGAGTTGTCCCTGTCACCCCTCCAGAGCCCCACCCACGCCAGCCGCTAGGAACCGCGCAATCCGGGGGAAGAGGTTCGGGGAACGCACAGGGAGAAGACCTGCGGCCCTGTCAAGCTGTGGGGTCTTGGGCTTCACTTCATCTATCTGGGCTGAGTTTTTACACTTATGAGATGACACAGAGTGTCTTCGTGTTCTCACTGAGCTCTACTGCGGGTCAAAAGCCAAAGCCAGTGGAGTGGGAGTGGGGAGAGCGGCTCTGAATCCCACTCCCCTTCTAGCCTGACCTCTGGTTGGTTCCGAGGAATGGACCAGGGAGGAGCTGTGCTGGAGCGAGCCAGGCAGCCAGTCAGCATGCAGCACCAAGGAAGAGGTGCGAAGACCTCCCCGCTTCTGCCTAGACTAGAGCCCCGTGTCCACCACAGCCCCGACAGGCCACCGGGAGGGGCTGCAGAAACCAGAAACCGGTTGATTCGGAGGACCAGGTGCCCAGGTCGAGGCACCCCTCACGGTGGGTCCCCAGCGCTCCTGCTGTGTCGGAGGCCTGCCCAGGCCTGGAAGGGGGCCCGAGGAGCCATCCCTCCTGCCCCCTCCCGTCGCCACGTGTCTCAGGTGGCGGCTGATCTGGGAGACAGCGCGGGCGCGAGTACAAGATGGATCGGGAGGCGGGAGCGGCCGGGCCAGGCCCGGGCCATCAATTATCTGGGGCGGGGGGGCGGGGGGGGGGGGGGCGGACAGGGAGAAAGCGAGAGGAAGAAATATGGAGATGCCGCTCCAGCGGGGGAGCGGGAGGGAGAGGAGTCGAGCATGTCAGAGTGTGTCAGTCAGCCTGTGCTGGCGCTGCCCTGCCGCTGGTGTGGCCCTGCCGTGCAGGTCCCGTGGGGGGAGGCGGTGCGTTTGGGGCTGGGGCGGTTGTGTTTCTGCTAGCCTGAAATGGTAGGGTGTGTGTGTCTGTCTACCTAGCGTGGTTGTGCCTGTGGTACATGTCCGTCAATGTGGACACATTGGTGGCTGTGTGTGTGGCTGTCTGGACATCCATGTGTATCCGTTCTGAGAAGGCCGTGTGCATGCCTGGATTGGCACTGTGTCCCTAAGTGCGGCTGTGTATGTCAGTTTGTGGTAGTGGTGTCTGTGACCGGCGTGGTTGTGTGCCTAGGCTGGCTGTGCCTGTGTATGAGAGGCTGAACGTGAGTGTGTGGTTGTCTGCAGGTGTCACTTTTCCTGTGTAAGCGCCTATCGTTCTCTGTCCATGTGTCGAGCTCTTTCTAAAGGGAACATATCCACAGTGAAGAACAAGTGTGGTTTCACCAGGTTCCCGGTGTGCGTGTGTGTGTGTGTGTGTGCCCGTGCGAATTGTATACGGCTGACGGGGTTCCCACACTGGCCCACAGGCTAAGCTCTGGGTAGATAAAGAGGCCTAGTAACACGGATGCCCCCTGCTTGCACACACCCATGTGAACACAATATGTGTCCACAGGGGACAGGAATGGCAGAGCCATGCCACTAGGCTAGAATCTCCACTGCCTGGTCCCCGTCCCCGCAGCGCTGCGATCCCGGGTTATTAATGCTGCCGCCACCCGCTCGTCATACATATTTATCGCCCCCTCATCCCTCCTCCCCTCCATCCCTCCTCCCAGCCCAGGTGAAGGGGGCTGGGGTGGCAAGAGTGATTGACTCAGAAAGACAAGGCTGAGCTGGCAGCTAATACCCGGAAGGTGTGCCTGAGAGGGGCTGGGGGAGGGGTCCAGGCCACACGGGGGTGGG